GGGGGGGGGGGGGGGGGGGGGGGGGGGGGGGAGTTTCTCTGGAAGAGTACGAGAAAAAAGGATAACTTACATCTAGTGCAGCTAGGGGTTGTAAGTGTTTGCGTATGTACACCAGATTTCCATAGTGAAGGGTAGTTTAGACATGGTCCCGTGATTTTCCAATGCGGGTTTCATGTAAAAATTGTGTGCATGATTATTTTGTGTGACTGACCGAATGATTGTTTCAAACATACTAATTTGATATACTATAAGTATCTTGTTATTAACGAAAATACGCCTGACCACAAAAGCATACAAAGAGAGTAACACTTCCATCGCTCAGATTAAGGTCGATAGGGCACATCACAAATACGAGAAGAAGCACCCCTTAATCAATGACTATGATTAATATCTCAGAACAAGTTAATGTCTAACAGCAAGAACAAAACAGAACAGTGCGAATACTGTTGAAAAACAAACTTGTTTTAGAGTTTATTATATTATTAAGGTGTGTTAATTTTATGTGTCAGTGGGCAAAGAATATGCAAGTAGTGGAAGACAATAGTATTAGTGAGTGTTAATTCACTAAGTAATAGTGTTTTAATATTTTAAGAGTTACAAAAGTTAGCAGGCGTAGTGGTGTGTGAATGTAATGTTAAGAGTTATAAGTATAACTTATATAAATAGGACATATAGTTTATTGTTAAAAGTAAGTAGATTAAAAGTTGAAGAGTTCAAGTTGAGTGTGTGATTGTAATCAACTTGTATGAAAATAATTTTTCTTTAATTGTTCATATCCTCCTTTACTTTTTTTCTATTTTATTTCTAGTTCTCTTGACTCTAACAAATTGGTATCATAGTGATCTTGTAATTGGAGCAATTCTAATAAATTGGTTTCAGAGCTAATTTTATGATATTGAAAATCTATATAACTTTCCATCAGAGTTAGCATTCGATCATAGAAGTCTAGATAACTAATTTTTAGAGCTAATACGATCCTTGAAGTCTTTGATTGTCATGATTATGGTGATCATGAACGATTCACCAAATATGTATTTTTTTGTGTGAAATCTAATGTACTCTAATTGCAGGAGAATGAAGATTACTCTACCTTCTTATCTCAAAGCGTTTGATTTGTAAGATGTGATTGAAAAAAAAAAAAATCAAAGAGTGGCTTGCCTAGAAGAGTTCAAGAGAAGAAAAAATAAAAGACACTTGGAGTTCTCAAAAAGGTGACACATGTATAAATTTAGAAGTATTTTGAAGATTTGAGATCTCCATATCATGTTTGGAAGATGATTGAGAGTGTAGTATCCAAACATTAAGGTGAGTTTTTACCCAATGAATATTGAGTTTAATGCTTTGTAGAAGATGAGTTTATAAAAAAAGAGTGTAATGTTGAAGACACACCCATGGAGGATCAAGAGGAGCATCATCTCGATGAAGACAAAAGAAATGAAGAAACTAAAGTGAAAATTAAAGTTCAAGAGGCTAAAACTCAAGAAATAGAAGAAAAATAATTTTGCACAGAAGTTGAAACGAAAGTACAAGAAATTGAAGAAATTGCGAGAATTGAAAATGAAATCAAAGATCTTATCATAATAAAAGATTGTAAGACGGAATCCTATGAGCTATTCCCTAATGATGCTTTTCCAACAAAGTATGAAAGTGAATATCATTTTGACGGAATGCTCAAAAACAAGAGTCAAGGAAGTGACTTTCATGAAAATTGCATGATTCATTACTTACAACTTGGTATACAAAATGTTTTAAGTGACACATGTTGGATGAATATGGATGAATTTTATGATCCAAGAGATCTGACACAAGAGAGGCTCAAGA